TGACTTTTCTGTGGGTCAGTGACCCCTGACTCAAAACAGATTCCCTGCCCCTCTCATGAATAAAGACAATGCAGAAACTTTTTGTGTTTGACACAGTATTGTATTTGAAAATGAAGCCTAGACAACAAACCCCCAATTTGGGCCAAGCCCCCATCTGACAGCATCATAACACTCCTGCACACGCACACACACGACCCTAGATCTGAGCCTATCATACACTGGAACCCCTGCCCTGAGCCCCTCCCATCCCCCAACCCAAATTCCTGCGCCGCCATTTTTAAATCCCCCTTAGTCCGAACTCCGTGCCCGCAGCTACACGCGGCTACACGCGGCGCGGAGTAGGTAGTTCGAATTATGATCTCTAATTCCAACCACCGTTACTCCTCGTGGAACGTGCTAATGAAGCGCGGGATATTTCAATCCCTCGCTTCCTTTGCAATTTTGGTCGCCCTCATTAGCCTCCCTAGTTTGAACTAGGGAGCTAGTGTAGACAAACCCCAAGACACTGACCCTTCTGGGCAGTTCTCTCCCTCCCCTGGCAGCCAGTGACCTGCCTCCTTTCCCCCACACACTTTCTGCCGGGCTTTGGATCCAAAGCTGACAGCAGCTCAGAGACTCTGTCCTACAGGGACACAATGAGCTGCCAGAGCCGGGTCCCTTTAACGAGCCCTGCCCAGAGGCTCAGGGATCCCCCAGGGCGCTCAGCTGGCGGCTGGTCCTCCCCCACCTCCATCCGTTCCCAGCTGACGCCCCTTCCCATGGCTTTGTCCCTCTCTGTTCCTCATAGAGGGAATTCCCAGCTGTTCTCTTTTTCTCCATGGCTGCACTGGGCGCCCCATGTGTGGAGGGGGGGACATCCTGTGGGACATCGGCAGGGCTGCGAGGTGCTGCCTCTCTCTGCCCGTGACCCTGGATGGGACCCTTCTCCTGGAACCAGGCAGGTTGGGGCCTAAGTCCTGTCCTGTGAGGATGAGCTAGGTTCTCGGGAGGGGATTTGAACAGGGGTCCCCAGGTCTCTGGGGAGTGCCTGAGCCACTGGTCTATAGTGATTCTCACTGCCACATTCAAGCGAAACAACTTCAAGAGGAGAGATTGTGAGAGCCCCACTTCAGACTGTTCCTTAGCTCAGGGCTACGGCACCCACCCGAGAGCTGGCAGATCCCAGCTCAAATCCTTCCTCTCTCTGAGCGGAGAGGGGGCTCGAACTGGGAGACTGCCCTAACCACCAGGCCACACACCGTGGCTTCCTTCCCTCCCCTGCTGTTCTCTGTGGAGCTAGGTTGTCTGTACGCAGCCCTACCAATGCAGGGATAGACACTGCCTTGCCTGGTTCCTGGATCACTCGGGGGCTGAGGTGGGTGATTTGTGTCTGGATGCTTAGAGGGAGGCAGCTGTGTGCATTGCCCGGAGGCAGAAACCCAGGCCCCTAGGGAATGATTTCCCTGAAATCGCAGGGGCTGAGTGAACACAGGTGCCTACAGGGCTAAGTGCAAGCCAAGTGGGAGTTCTGCTGATCTGAGCGGTTCCTAAAAGTGAGTCTTAGGCATCAAAACCTCTGTGTGAATCCAGGCCCTTGTGTTCGGTATTGAGGAGTGTCAGGGTGAGACTGTAAACTAGCTGTGGGCTGGGTGGAGAACCCCCTAAGCTAACCAATGGGGGTGGAGATGTAGCCTTTTATTTTACTGAAAGTGAAGTTGAGAATGTGTCTAGAGATATTTAAGAGCAGGTTAGATAGACATCTGTCAGGGATGGTATAGACGGAGCTTGGTCCTGCCTTGAGGCCGGGGGGCTGGACTCGATGACCTCTCGAGGTCCCTTCCAGTCCTATTATTCTATGATTCTATGAAACCTCTGTGTGAATCCAGGCCCCTGTGTTCGGTATTGGGGAGTGTCAGGGTGAGACTGTAAACTAGCTGTGGGCTGGGTGGAGAACCCCTTAAGCTAACCAATGGGGGTGGAGATGTAGCCTTTTATTTTACTGAAAGTGAAGTTGAGAATGTGGTGGTACATCACCGTGCCTTCAGCTCTGCCTGCCACCGTCTCTAGCTCAACAGAGTGACAGTCACCTCAGCTACTTCCTACAGACGGGGAGCCTCCAGGACTCATGAAGACCATGGACAGTGACACAGACATTCCCAGGTACCACGTTACAAGTTTTATTAGCGTCACAAGCAGGGTTACAATCGTATAGAAATCCTACGAATACCCACAGTGTGTGGTCACGCTCACATCCTCACATCCATCCCTAGAGTCGCATGGATTCCTCACCTATTGGACAGCAGCAGAGGGATGGTCCCTGCTGGAGATTTTCCACCAATAACTCACAAACTGGTCTGGGAACCAAGGTTGAGACGAAGGGTTCCCGCCATAGTCTAAAGCTATCTGAGGCAGGAAGAGACGTCATCAGTCGTTCTTCATTTCCCCACCACTAAACACTCCAGCCATGCTCCAGAGGACGAGGACGTGGAACGGGGAGGGGATGCTAAGCTGCAAAGCAAGAGCAGTTTGTGCCTGGAGAATCTGCGAGACGGCTTGTGTCCTCAACCAGGGGGAGGAACGGCTCGTTCCAATCCTGTCCTGCGTGTTGAGCGTAGCTTGCGGTTTTGTTTATTTGCCCGTCAATCTGCTTTGATCTGTTTGCTGTCCCTTGGAATCACTTCACACCTGCCCTTTGCAGTTCATACGTTTGTTCTGTGCTTCATCTCAGCCAGTGAGTCTGGAGTGAAGGGCTTGAAATCTTAGCGCAAAGGGCAGGGCCTGTTGCCTTTCCTCGCCACATGGAGGGAGGGTGAACGATATGAGCTGACTCGCTACAGATCTCTGGGAAGTGCCAGACTGCACAGTTTGGGGTTTATACTCCCGAGGGTGGGGCGCATTGCTAGGGAGCTGGGAACCTGGCGTCTGTTGATTGTACTCGGATAGCCCAGTGTGGGTGAGTGGTGCCATCTGCTGTTGTATTGGGTGATAACAAGGCCTGTGTCAGCCTGGCTGTGTCCCCAGCTCTGTTGTGGGTCACCCAGGGTGCAGCAGTTCTTACAGCTCCCAGACTGTGCCCCAGGGGTGCTAATTCATCACTGGGGGCCGCTTTAATCCTTTCCTTAGGTAACGCCGACAGGTCAGACTGAACCTGGGACTCTGAAGCTTAGTGCAGGAGCCTCTACAGTTCGAGCTGTAAGCCAGCTGGCTCCCAGCTAAGGCCATGGAGAAAACTCCTTCTCTCTGTCACTGATCTAAGTGCCACCCCACAGGACAGTGACACACCCGGTAGGTGTGAGGGTTGCACTTTCATCAGGCGTTTCTTAAGTTTCTGGCCTAACCTCTACAGTTCGAGCTGTAAGCCAGCTGGCTCCCAGCTAAGGCCATGGAGAAAACTCCTTCTCTCTGTCACTGATCTAAGTGCCACCCCACAGGACAGTGACACACCCGGTAGGTGTGAGGGTTGCACTTTCATCAGGCGTTTCTTAAGTTTCTGGCCTAATACAGCTAATTGACACCTGCCAAGTCTGTGCCCGCGGGCTGTACATTTCAGCCCTGCTCCCCTTCTATACCTACTGCTACTTATCACCTCTAAACACTTCTCAGTCTTGGACCTCAGTGATCCTACCGCTGAACTCTGTTTCAAACACAGCAATTCTACTACATCTGGGTAGAACACACGAGAAATCATTGATAAAATGCCCCCCCCACTCCCCTTCTCAGAGACGGGCAGCTAAATCCAGGCTGTAGGGAGCGGGGCGGATGAGAGTCTTGCAGGGCCCAGAGCAGCACAATTTTGTGGGGCCCCCCTTTGGAGACAAAATAGAAAAAATGCGTCAAATGCGCAAATTGAAGCTATTTTGCATATTAAATGTGAATTAGGTAAATTTGATAGAAACGGAATTTAGTTGGATAATTTTTATTTTAATGATATTGTAATTCATTCTTAAACACAATTCTGCATTAATAATTCGACATTTTCATTTGTTTTTAAGTCTACTAGAGCTGTCTAGCTCTTTTGGCAGCGCATTCTTCAATTATGTCAGTAAAGTCCATTTCTTTACACAGGTCGTGAAGGCAGAGCTGAGATTTATTCCTGGCTCGCAGTCGATTCTCTTTGGCCGCCCATGGCTGGTATTTGCCAGGCAGCGTTGAGTGTTCCACAGCCAGGCAGCATTGGGACTTGCGGGGGCCAGGTGGAGTGTGGGTGTTGGGGCTTGGGGGGGGGGGCAGCGTGTGGGTACTAGGGTTGGGGGCAGGCAGGGTGTGGCTATGTGGAGGATGGCGCACAGATGGGCCATAGGGAGGACCAGCGGGCAGGGGTGTCTGACTCATCAGACAGGCCAAAATGACCATTTCAGCCTCTCAACCAGCTCCTGGCTGGGCGGGGGCAGCTGGCAACTCCCCCTGCTCCCAGGGATGGGGGGATGGGGAGCCCTGCTGTCTTTGGATCTGGGTCGCGCTGTGCCCATGAGTGGGGGGAGGTGGGGACTGGCGGGAGGAGACAGGGTCTCCCTGGCTGGCGGCTCGCTCTGCCCCCGGGCGTGGCGGGAAAGGGGTCTGGGCTCCCCCGGGGGAGAGACTGCGCCACCACCAGCCTTTCTCTGGACAGGGCAGGAGCGTGGAGCAGTGGGATACCTGGGCACCATGGCCAGGCGGTGCCCTT